TGGGGAGCGGCCTCCGGAGCGGCGTTCCCCTCGCCCGACGCCCGCCCGCCCGGCCCCCCCGGCGCAGCCTCCTCCTGGCGGCGCCCCCTGCGCTCGCGCATCCCAGCACCGAGGGGCGGGCGCGGCGCGGTGGCCACGGGCAGCGCCAGGCGAGGCGAGGCGAGGGCGCCACCTGCCGGCCGCTGCGCCGCGGTGCGCCGCGGTGGGCAGGCGCGGCTGCAGCGCCCTCGGCGGGCGGGACCCGCTCGCTCGCGCAGGCAGCCCGTGCGGTGCCAGGCGCGCTTCGCATGCGAGCGCCGAGCGTCGAAGCGGCCGTGAGGAAGGGCTCCTGCAAAGTGCCTGGATGGCAGGCCGTCTGTGCCCTCGGGTCCCTCAGAGTCGGGGGGCCAAGGCAGAGGGGCCTGTCTTGGGGTGGCGTTCCGAGGGGGCCCTTGTGCTGCTCCCTTGCATGTGCTGGACTGCATTCCCAGGTGGCATGCTGGGGGTTGTAGTCCAGTACCTTTGGGGGGTGGCTGGTGGGGGAGGTGCACAGCTGCTCTAGCTCCCTGGGGGGACAGGAGCCTTGGCTGCGGCGGCACCTGACCGGACGTGATAGCCCTGCCCGGCATCTCTGCCCCACCCCTCCAGAAGCATGCTCCGGAGAGAGCCGAAGAGCCCCCGGGCGGAGCCCCGAGTCCGCTGAATTTGCAGCCAGGTTCGTTGGCGTTCCGATGCTGTGGGTCTTGAGGCTGGCCTGGGCCTCCCCACATACCACGGGGGCCGCACAGAGTTCCTTCCGCGTCAGTCGCTGCCCTGCTGGATCACCCTGCATTACTTTAAGCACCTCTGTCGGTCTCTGACTCGCCTCTTGTCTGAGCTGAGCTGAATGACTTGTGGCCATTCCTCCCGGTCTCGTAGCCATGCTCACAGGGAGCTGCTGCAGCCCTCTGATGATTTGGGTTGCCCTTCTCTATAATTTTTCCAGCTCAGCCACGTCCCTTTTCACGTAAGGCAACCAGCACTGGACACGGCGTTCTTAAATGCAATTTGATTGCGCCAAAGGTTCGTGGAAGGGGATCCCGGCGGTTCAGCTCGCTGTTCCGTTCCGGACTCTGCCTCGCGCGGAGCTCCGTGCCCGTGCGGTCCAAAGGGCCGGTGCTTGCCCAGTCTCGGCCCGTAAGGAGGATCGGGGCTGGCTGGCATCCGCATGGAAGTCTCGAGGCTGGCACTGAGCACTGGGCTGGACCCGATGGCCTTCTGGACCCCTTCCAAGGGCACAATTCTGTGACTCACGGGGCCCACATTTTCACTGGCCTGTCCTGCACTCCCCCCCCCCAAGGATCCCCTTCTTCTCAGGTCTCATCGGCCTGTGCTGGAAGCTGAGATTTCTTGCTGCGATATAAATTGCTTCACACTTGCGTGCATTGAACAGCCGTTGCCATTCTGATGCTCCCCCCTCCAGGTCGGAGAGGCCCTTTCGGAGCTCCGCACCACCCCTTTGGGCTCCAACAGCCCTGCATTGCGTCATGCGGCAGGGCGAGGGGTGAGCACAGAGCTGGCGCCCGTCCCGCCTGCCGCCTCTGCTCCAAACACTTGAGCCCGGCAGGCCGAAAAGCCTCGCACACAACAGGGCAAGCCCGACTTGCACTCCAAGAGTCCGAGCGGCTCCGTTGACAGGCTGCCCGCGGGCCGTGGCTGCCCGCTCCGGCTCGCACCTGGGGAAGGGGGCCTCGCGCCGTATGCGGCGTCTTGTCTCGGTGGCCTCGGCGTGGTTTGCCGCGGGCCAACAAGCCAGGATGGGAGGCCGGAGTTGGACACGGCGTGCGGACGGGTGTTCGTGCCGACGATCGATCGTCTGGCGAGGCGCCTGAAAGGCAGCACCGGTTCCCATGCCTGCCGTGGCCGCCCGGCCCTGGGATGCGGGCTGCCGGGCGGGAGCTGAGCCCCTCGGGAGCCCCCCGGGGCCAGGCTCCAGTGCCGGCCCGTGCCGCCCAAGCGGAGGGGAGCTGATCCTGGAAGGCGCAGCAGGCGTGAGGGAAGGCTCAGCCCCACTTCCCGGGCTGCCTCCGCGGCGAGGAGCGCGGCTGTGAGGCAGAGGCGGCGTCTGGCTGCTCCCCGAGCGTCCCCCCCCCGCCTTGCGTCCGTCCGCTGCCCTTCCCGGGGTCAGGCCGCCTTCCCCGTGCTTTCCCCGTTGCCATGGCGTTGCCGCCAGCCACGGCCATATTTAGGCAAAAAATCCTCGCTCGGCGCCCCATGCCAAGCTCCGCGGCAGCCCCTCCCGGCCGACCGACCGACCGACCGCTCGCTCATCCCCAGCCGGCAGCCTGTCCCGGGCAGAGAGCCCCGGGTGGGGGGCTTGGAGCGGCCTGGACCGGGGCAGGAAGGGGGCCAGGACTGTCGCTTGATGAGAGGCAGCCCCCCCTTGCCCGGCCAGGCCCAGCCCCACGCTGGGCTGGGGAGCAGGTCCGGGCCACACGTGGGGGGTCTGCCCTGCCCCCCCAGAGCCGGGCAGGCCTTGCTTGCTCCCCGCTGGTGAGTACGGCCCATGCTCCACCTCGGCCGGGAGCCTGCCCTGCCCCCCCCACGGGGCCCTGCTGCCCCCCGGTGCCGGGGGGAGGCCGCCCCAGCCCAGCCCAGCCCTGCTGGGGACCCCTCCAGGGAGTGGCAAGCGTGACCAGGGGGTGCTGGGGGAGCCCACGTGGTGGAAAGGCCCTCTGCACATGCCCAGACTCCTCTTGCCTCCTGCTCAGCAGCCCCCTGGCTTCACCCTGCCCGCGAACACTCTCTCAGGGCCTGCTCACGGGGCCCCGCTCCAGGGCCTTCCAGGAGAGCCGCCCTCCCGTCTGGGGCCGTTCCAGGGCAGAGGACCCCTCCAGCCCCCTGGAAGGCACGTGGCGGGTGAGGTGGGGGGGCTCGGGGCTCATGCGGAGCAGCAGGCTTGGGCACAGAAGGGTGGCGGGGGGGCCACGGGCGTCTGCCGTGGGCTCCCCGATTGCCCCCGTCTGCTACCAACAGCTGGGAACACTGGATGAGGGGCTGCAGGGCACCCCCTGCCTGTGGGGACCCCCCCCCCCGGGCTGTGTGCAGCAAGAGCAAACTGCGTCTTCTTTCGGCACTGCTCAGGGCACTGGCCTCAGTGAGCCCGAGTCGTAAACCTGCACATGCTCAGAGGGGCTCTTCCCTGCCCAGCATTCTGGCAGGTCGGGACCGGGGGAGCCGTCGCAGGACGCGGCCTGGCGGGGGGTGATGCTGGGTGGGCTCCGCGGCAGAAGCAGCCAGCGCCCCCGCCCTGCCGGCAAGCGCCTCTTGAGCCAGGGCCGAAAGCCGGCCGCCCCCGCTCGGCCCGGATTGCTGCTTTGCCGGGCTTGGAGCGCCGCTAAGCAGATTCTGGGAAGATCGGGCCGCGGAGACGCTAAATCCCTTCCGAATGAGGTTAGCGCCCCCGTTGCAAGCCTCCCCCCCCCAGGCCACGGCAGAGGCCTTGCAGCCCTGCCCCGCCTGGTCGGGGCTGCCTGAGCGCTGCCTTGCAGGGCTTCCACCCCCGGATGCGCCTCGCGGGCTGGGGGAGCCTGGGGGGCTGCGCCGGAGGGGCAGCCCTCCCCACCCCGGCAAGTGCGCCTGAGAGAATCCGCCAGCTGCAGCTGGTGCCCAGGCAGGATTAGTGCGGCAGCTGGGAAGGCGCCCAGCTGGAGGCTGCTTGGACTTCCTCACCCCCCGGCAGCCAGGGCAGGGGGGGCTTTCCTTGCCCCCGCGAGGTGTGGAACTCGTGGCTGGCCTGGTGGCCGCTGTGGCCTGGGAGTCGTGCTGCAAGCGGCTGCCAGTCTGGAGGGCTGAGGCTGGGGCTTGCCGGGCCGGGCCGCCGAGCGCCGGTCCTGGAGCACCTGGGTTCACGGCAGACCGGGCCACCGTCTGAGCGGGTGGGTGTGACTTGGAGCCCGGTGCCAGCCGGGGGCCGGGCCCAGTGGCCCTGGTGGCCCCTTCCGAGCCGGCCAGTCAAGCCAGGGCTTCTGGTTTCCGGCCCAGCTCCCTGCATCACTCGCCCATGGGGGAGTCCCCGCAAGCCGAGGGAGGGGAGGGAGGGAGGGAGGGAGGGAGTCCTCTGCGGCCCCACGGAGCGGACATCAGTCTGGGCCCTCCGCCCACAGGCCGCGGCCCTGGCTCTCCCCCTCAGGTGCCACTTGAGGCAGGGAAGCGCTCCTCCCTGCACCCAGCCGCCCCTCCTGGCCCTTCCGGGGGTCACCAGAGCCCCCCCCCAGCCCGCTGCCCGGCCAGATAGTGGGCTGATCCCACCTGCGTGGGCTGCTTCTCGCTGAGGCCGGCCGCCTGTCCTCACCCGGGGGACGGGCAGGGCTGCCCCGGTGCTCGGGCTGGAGCCCCCTTCGCCCAGTGGCTCCCGCGGCGGCGGCCTGGATGGGGCGGCAGGTTGAGGGGGGACTCTGCACCTGGCAACATTTGTGGGGGGGCCTTGCAGAGGAGCTGCAGAGGCCGCCCCGTGGCAGGGGGCACGTGGGGCATTCGGCCCCCTCGTTTCGGAGGCTGATCTGCACGTGCTTCGACCTTTTTTGGAAGCTTTGTGTGGACTCCAGCCGTGCCTCTGGCGGCCCCACCGTCCGCGTCCCACCTCCCCGCTCCCCTTCTCCGGAAGCAAATTAAACAAGGGATGGGGCCATTTTTATCGTCTCCAAGAAACAAGCGTGCTGGAGCCCAACTGATGACAACAGAACCGCGGTGCCATCCGCCGAGCCTCACGGCGCTGGAGCCAGGCTGTGCCCACCCCCCGCCAGCCCTGGGCTGCCTGCAAGGGGTCTTGCATGTTGGGGTGGGGGCTGGAGGGGGCGGGAGGCTGAGGCTCTGGTTCGGCCGGAAAGCATCCCAGTTCAGCATTCAGAAGAAGCCCAGAATGAAGGAGGCAGATCTTCATCGAGATGAAACAAGCCGGGTAGGCAGGGATGGGCCCCATGGGCGAAATCGCGGGGGCTGCCCCTGACTCTGCGCCCCCTTCTCCCCCCCCTCCCCCGCAGGCAGCTGCTTCCTTTGCCTCGTGGACGTTGTGCCGGTGAAGAATGAGGATGGGGCCGTCATCATGTTCATCCTCAACTTCGACGTGGTGATGGATCGGGGCCTGCTGAGCAGCCCCGCCAGGAGCACCAACCACTGGGTCTCGCCGGCTGCCTGGCTCCCCACGGGTAGGGGGGGCCGCCTCCGCAATCGGGACGGGAGGCTCTGCTCCTCCGTGTGCCGGACGGGCAGGGGGGCGCCTGCTTCCTGGGCCGCTTGTGGCATCGCCTGGCCGCCCAGGTTCACATTCCGTCTCCACACTCTGCGGGAAGATTCAGACATCGAGGCCAGCAAGGCCCAGGGAGCATCTGCATGGTGCCAGGTGTCGAGCTGGCCACTGCACAAGGGAGCGTCTCACGGGAGCCCCCCGACTGGAAGCCGGGGGGGGGACATCAGGCCTGGCCCTGCGAGGGTCTCCAGGAGTCTGTGGGGCTTTCCTTCCTGTTCGCAGCTGCATCCCTCCCTCCCTCCCTTCCTCTGGGGAGCACCCGCGAGCGGCCCCACGTTGCCCCCCGAGGCCTTGCATGGCAGCCGCGCTGGGAAAGCCACCCCTCCGGGGCATTCCTGCCCCAGCTTCCCCTCGGCCCCAGGCCACATGAACCCGAGCCCAGCCCTGCTCCGGGCTTTTCCAAACCTGCTCTCTGTGCTGGCTTCGGAGGGATGGGGTACCGGCCTCAGCTCCCCACTGCAGTGGGGTTAGTGCTGGTGATGTCTCGGAGGGCTTTGGGGCGTCCAGTTCGCTGGGGTGGACAGCCCGATGTGCCCGGGAAAGGCTGCCATGGGCTCTTTCCGGGCACGCAGGGCCCCCCGCCCTCTCCAGAGGGCCCTGGGGCCCGGCGCCGACTCTCCACTCCTCCTGCCCTTCCAGGCCGCGGACGGTCCTTCCGGCTGAAGCTGCCGGCCCTGCTGGCCCTGGCGGGGAGCAAGCAGTCGCTCCCGCAGGATGACCCCGATGAGGCTGTGGTGGTGGACTTCTCCAAGCCGAGCAGCGAGTCGGTGGCACTGGACGAGGTCCCCTCCTCGCTGGACAACGACTGCCTGGGCTGCGGCGAGGCCGAGGACCGGCAGGCCCTGATGGACCGCCGGGGGGAGTGCGGCCCGGAGGCCCCCGTCACGCACTCCTCGCCCCGGGCCGACAGGGCCCGCCTCAACCTGGACGCCTCCTTCTCCAACTGCAGCCTGACCCGCAGCCGCTCCCGGGAGAGCTTCCACAGCGTGCGCCGGGCCTCCTCCGTGGACGACATCGAGGCCATGAAGGGCGAGGGCGAGCGAGGCCGCGGCCACGGCCGCCATGCCAGCACAGGTGCGCCCGCCGGCCGGGGAGGCAGGGCACGCCGGCTGGGGCAGCTGCCCCTTCCCCTCCGGGGAGGCTGGGTGGGCCTCGAGGCACGGCTGGCGGCAGGAGGCGGCCCACGCCTGGGGTGAGCCGAGGCGCGAGTGTGCACGGGTCAGTCCGGCAGTGGCACCTCGTGGGCCGCGGGGAGGCGCTCGACCTGCCCGCCCCGCCCCGCCCCGCAGGAGGCCCCCTTCATGGGCGCGTGTCCCTGCCAGGTGCCATGAACAACCTCCGGAGCCACCTGCTGAACTCCACCTCCGACTCGGACCTCATGCGCTACCGGGCCATCAGCAAGATCCCGCAGATCACGCTGAACTTCGTGGACTTCAAGGCAGAGGCCTTCCTCACGTCGCCCTCCAGCGAGAAAGAGATCATCGCGCCCAGCAAGCTCAAGGACCGCACCCACAACGTCACCGAGAAGGTCACGCAGGTGAGCCGGTGGGGCAGCCACGGCGCTGGGCCCCAGGGGTCGGAGGAGACGGCCCCCCCCGGGCCCCCCCCGAGTCTGGCCCTTCACGCCTGCAGGGCCGGCGTGCACTCCTGCAGCCTTCAGAGAGGGCCTGCCGGGGCCGTTCAGGCCCAGGGTGCCTGCAGAAGTCTCTCCGCGCACCCACGGGCCCCAGGCCGGCCGGAGCACCTCCCCCCACCTGGAAGGATGGTGGGGCTAAAGCCGAGCCCCGCTTGTGGGGAGGGCCCCTGGCCCTTGCAGGGAAGGCGCTGGCTGGCGCGGGAGGGCGTGCGCCGCAGCTTCCTCGCCAGCGTCCTGCGCTCGGGTGGGCTGGGGGAGCATGGAGCCATGAAGGGCCAGGAGGGGTCCTCTGACGAGCCCGGAGGAGCCGTCCTGTTCCCCCGCTGTATTTTTCCCTGCCCTCTAAATTGCAGCCACGTGTGGGGCTGGAAGGTGGGCGGCCGGTTTGAGGGCACGCGGCCGGCTTAGCGGGGAGCTCTGGGGGGGATCGGCTCTTTGGCCCCTTCTGTGTCCACGGCGGTCTAGGTGGGTGCAGAAACCGGGCAAGCGGCTGGCCCTCCTGTGCCCAGGGGCTCAGAGCCAGTCCTGGGGGCTCCCGGCACCCTTCCGGCCTGGGCGACTGGCTGGCGGGCTCCGGGGCAAGTGGCCCCCCGCGTTTCAGGCCACGCTGGGCTCCAGGCTCACTGGTGGGCGCCTGGTGGGCGCCTGCTTTCGGCCGAAGGGTGCCCCCCACACACCCTCCTCTCCCATGTGCAGGCGAGCGCGTGGCTTTTCTCTTTTACGGAGCAGGTGTGCCAGGAGGGCGTGGGAGGCCGTGGTGGGAAAGCCACGGGAGTGCTGCGCGGGGGGGAGGCCAGTGTCTGCTCACCACCCGCTGGCAGTGTTCCGTGGGGGAGGCTGGGCTTTGGTGCCACGGAAGCCGCTTCCGGCCTTGACCGGGGCTGCCCACCGTGGCTCCAGCGTGGCAGGAGCCGGCGCTTCCGCGGTCGGCTCGTGGAGCAGCCGCCTCAAGGAGGGCAGCCTGGGCCGTGCCAGGACAGGCCCTGGCAGCCAGTGGGGGCTGGGGGGGCGCTCCCTCCCCCAGGGCTCCAGTGCGGCAGGCCGGGCATGATGGGGGATGGGCGGGCACGGGGCTGTCGCGGGGGGCTGCCCGGGACCTCGCGGAAGGGGGCGGCCGACGTGCAGGCGGCTGCTGGGGCCACGCTCCCAGCCTGCCCTCCCGAGCAGCACCCGGCAGGCGAGGCGCCGCGTGGTGCCGAAACCGCGGGCGGGCGAGAAGCGGGGGCTGCCTGGGGGCCCTGTGGGAGTGGCCGGGGCCACGGGTGCAAGCAGCAAGCAGGCGGTCCAGATCCCCACTGTGGGACGAGCGTGGGACCGGCCTCGACCTTCAGCCGCCGTGCGCTCAGGAGTGGGTGGAAAGGGGGAACCCGTGCCGCTCTTACTGCCGCACAGTTGGAGCCGGTGGTGGTCTTCCTGCGCGTCCGTGGAAGTCTGGGGGGCCGGGGGTGCTCACGGGCGGCCTTTCCGCCTCGGTGGAGAGGCGGTGCTTGAGGTGCCCGGTTTACAGGGGGCCTCCGAGGGCCCCCCTGAGGGACGCAGCCCCTCCTGTGCCCGAGGCGAGGGTTAGGGTTAGCCTCTGGAGCTGCCTGCCCACATCCTTCGCTGCCGGGAGCCCTTTCTCGGCGTGGCGGGGGGCGCGGGGGGGCGGGAGACCGCGGCCGGGCTTGGCGAGGTGGGAGAGCTGCAGGGCCCCGGGGATGTTGCCGGGCGCTGCGCATTTCCCCCGCGCAGCGCCGGGCAAGCTGGCGGCAGGGGCGGTGCGCCGCCGCTGGACAGCGCGCCCAGCTGATTCATGGCTCTGCGGCGGGGGCGCGCGAGGCGGGGGCGGGGGGGGGGGCGCTGCCGCGGCGCTCGCCCAGACTCGCACGCACCGAGTCTCTCCGAGCATGCCGGGCCGCTGCCCAAGGTGACCGCGCCGCAGCAGGGCCGGCCCACCGCGGCCCCTCGGCCAGGAACCGGGCAGCCGGCGGGGAATGGCGCCCCGGGAGTCTCCCTGCGGCGGGGACCCCCTACGGAGTGGCGGGGCTGTTGCCCCAGCGAGTATTCCCATGCCGGGGGGAGGGGGGGAGGGCAGCGCCGCCTTCTCCGGGACGCCCCCTGCACCGGCTCTTCCTTTTCCGCACGCCTGAGTTTCCCCCACGGCACGCGGCTCGGTGCGGCGGGGAGCGGGCTGGCCCGTACGCGGGCACACGCGGGGATGAGATTGGAACGGGCTGCCTCAGGAGCCGTGGGGGCGGGGGGCGAGGATCAGACGGCTCCTCGCCCTCCCCAGCACCACTCCCAGCCCGGGACTTGGGACCGACCTCCACTCCGAGCGGCCCGCGCGTCCCCGGTCGCGGCAGATGGACCCCCCCCCCTCCGTCCCGCTCTGATCCGAGCCAGTGCGCGCCGCGCCGCGAGCGAGGGGGAGGCAGGAGAGGCGGCGGGAGTGGGCGGGCGGGGCCAGCCGGGGCCTCCCTGTGGGTGGGCACAGCCCGGGGGCAGAGGCCCCGGCAGCTGCTCCTTCCGTCGAGCGACTCGGGCTGCGGGGTACCGCCCGATCAGGCTGTGCGTCTGCCGCGGGTCTGTCGCGGCAGCCTCCTCCCCACGCGTGGCTGGGAGCCTGGGCCGCTGCCGAGGCGCTCCTGGCGCCATGCCCCGCGGGCCCCTTCCCCGCAGGGGGCGCCCAGCATGAGTCCCGGGGCGAAGGGCAGCGGCGGGCCTCCACAGGGCCAGAGCGCCCGGGTGCGCCGCGCCGTCCGTATCTCCAGCCTGGTGGCGCACGAGGTAGGGCGCGCCGCGCGTGAGCTTGCGTGGTCTGCTGGGGGCGGTGCGGCCGTGGCGGGGGGTCCGCGAGCGCGTGGCTTCCAGCGGGGGTTCGGGTCCTGCCTTGGAGGGGCTGGATCAGGATGCAGGGGTGGGAGGGAGCACTCTGGACGTGCCCAGAGGCACCTTCTCTTGCTTCCCTCTTCAGACCTGCGGGGCTGGCTCTGAGCCTTGCGCGCCTGGTGGGGCTCTGGCCAGGAGCCCCTCCCTGGGTCCGAGCGCTGGCCGTGGGCGAAGGGGCCGCAGAATCGGGAGCGCCCGAGGGCAGAGGCGGCCCCGCCAGCCCCCCGCCCTGCACCGGGGTCCCAAGCAGCGGCCCCCTTGTGCATGACGCGTGCGCGCGCGTCCCCGCCGCCCCCAGAGCCGAGTCCCCGAGAGAAGGGGCTGCTTTGGCGGTGCTGTGGCTGCCGTCCCCTCGGCCCCAGCCGCTGGCCCTGCCGCTCTCTCCCCACCCCCACCCCCCTCTCCTGCACTGCGCGCGGCAGGAGCTGGCGACCGAGGAGCCCCTCTTCGCTCCCCGAGCGCCGCGGACCGTCCTGGGCTCCCGCAGCCGCCAGCCCCATCCGCCCGCCCCCGCAGGACGTCGCGCCTCTCCTGCCTGCCAAGGCTCTGTGCTGCACCCGCCGCCGGCAGCTCCCCCCCCCCCCGTGCTCGTGCTCGTGCTCGGCCGGCAGAGGGAGATCCCGGAGCGAGAGCGGCTTCGAGCCCAGCGAGGGGCTGCGGCCAGAGGCAGAGGGTCCCCTGGGGACACGTGCCGGCGAGAGAGCCCTGTGGGGGGCGCTCTCCTTCCGATCAGCCTCGTGTAGCCATTTTCTGGTCGAAGGGAGTCACGGACTGGGAGGGGGCAGCTGCCTTCCTGATCGGAAATGCCCCCCATCCTTCCTGGGAGAGAGTCCTGGAGCTGGAAGGGTGCGCAGTGGCCATCTAGCCCAACCCCAGCCCTGGCAAAGCCCACCCCACTGCCCATCCCGCCTCAGGCCACGGCTGGCACAGCCACGGCATGTGCCTGGGGGGGCTCGCTTCTGCGCCCAGCCGGCACCCTCCTCCCTGCACCACAAGTTCCATGTTCCTGGGGACAGATGCAGCTTGGCTTATTCTTGGCTCTGCTTCTCTCTTGCCCCAAGGCTCTGGGCAGCGCTGAGCAGTGGGGCAGGCACTGCAGTCCCCACAGTGGCCCCTGGCCAGGGGAGGCCCCCGGGGTGGCCCACAGGAGCCCCCCTCTCTGCAAGCCCCACCCCCTTTCTCACGTGGCTGGAGGGTCTGGCCTCCGAGACCCATCCCTTGAGCCTAGCACGGCCCTGGGAGCACCGGGGGGGGGGTGGCCACCCGTCTGGGGATGCTGCCCCCGCCCTGCTCGCTGCTCCCTGCAAAGCGGGAACTGGGATGCTGACCGGCCCCCCCAGGGTTGGCGTGGGGTGGCCCCTCCCTCCCAGGCTCTTGCCAGCTGAAAACAGGCCAGCGGGTGGGGGGCTCTGCCCACAGCTGTCCGCAGGCCACTGCTGGTGGGTCTCCTCTGGGAAAACAAAGGGGGGAGGCGTGCCAAGAGCATGGGGGGGGCTGCAAGTAGAAGGGGGCCGTCCAGGCTCCCCGTGGAGCTCTTGGGGGCGACGGCATGAGAAGGGCCTGCGCCCCCACGGGCACCCAGTGCCTATGGGGGGCTCCTTCCTGGGAAGAGCGAGCCCCAGCACCGCTTCTCCCCTCATTCCCCCGGGACCTGCATCAGCGCAGCTCCTTTAAGCGGCTGCCTCTCCGCGGACTGCCGGCCGCCAGCGCATTGCCACGTGGTCCCGCGTGGCTCTCGCGGGCGTGAAGGTGCCCAGCGTGGCTGCGGGGCCGCTTCGCCACTTGGCGGGGCTGAGGGCCGCGCTCCCCGGAGGCACCTTCACTTGCCCTGCGGAGAAGGCCCCGGGCCCCTCCAGTCCCCGGAAGCGCCGGCAGGGGAGCTGCGTGACTGACGCGCCTGACGTGAGCGGCTGAATCGGCCGCCGACAAGCGCTGCTCTCCGCCTCATGGCTGGGCCCCTTCCACCGGGGCTCCCCGGGTGGCCCGGACTCCCGAGCTGGCCGGGGTGCCAGGGGCGAAGCCGTCCCTCCTTG